AGAAGAATCCAAAATTTACCATAAGTAAATTTACAGGAAATCAAAACATTTAAAAATGATTAAATATGATAAGATAAGTGCTATCATCACCCTAACTATATTACTATTTATAAATGATAAATCAGTTTAGAAAAAAATCCAATAAATGATTAAATTGTAGTAGCAAAAAACATCGGTTGTTATAGTATAGGTCCACTTTCCGAAATTCACCTGAAATTTAAGACATATGATTTGATGGTGGGTATATAAGATTCGGCACAGCCGAATATAGCATTCTTACTTGTTTAAAATAATTTTAGCCAAAAAATTTCTAAAAAAGTATTGATGCATCAAGGTTTATGCTACAAAATATCTAAATAATGTTGTATGTGTTTATAAGCATAAACATTTACAAAACAAGCATAAAGCATAAATAATTGTGTATGTACATATGTATGTATGTTTTGTATGTACAAGTTGATTTTAAAAAAAGAAACAATATTTATCATTTCTATAAAATGCTCAATTAAATTATGTTTATACAAATTTAACACGAAACAACAAATTTATATATTTTATATCCTAAAATACCGAACAATTTTATGCCTGTACGCACGGAAAGAGACAGATTTGTTAAATTTATTAATATTGTAAAAAAATAAAACAAAAAATATTATTGTTATGGATAAAATCTGAAAAAAAAAAACTATTATTATTGGGATATTCAAAAATAATTTTTTATTTCACATAAAATTCTTCATAATAAACTATACATATTTAAAAAATTATAAACAATCAAAATGCGATTGATTTGAAGTCTTTTTATTAAAAAAATATTTTTTGTACATCAAAGTTATTTTAATTTTATTCTAAAAATTATTTCACACAAAAATATTTCAAAAGTTAAGAACTCGAATTAAAGAATATTTTCTTCCTTAAGGACAAACTTGTAAAATGTAGTAAAACATTCAAATCTCCTTTAACTCGCTGGTTTTAAAGTTTCTGAAAAGTTTCTTTTTGCGAAAAACTCTTGAAAATTCGAGTGATAAAAATGGCATCTATTCGCCAAGAATTAAGATTACCGCAACGTAATTTTTAATATTTTTTTGACAGGAATTCACTGTTAGAATGTTTTGAGAAACACCAGAAACATTTTTTATATAAAAACAAGTAAGAAATTATAGTCGGGCGAGGCCGACCATATAATACCCTACACCTGTTACAAAAATAAAATGTGATTTAGTTTTCATAATAAAGCACTTAAGTTGAATTGCACCTTGCCTTGAATTATACTTAAGCCATTTATTGTTGAATAAAATTGTGGACATTTAAGTCAAATTTTGAAGGGGGATTTGTATAGGGGCTATGGTCAAATGAGACCCAATAATTGTAAAATTCATGAGAGTCATCAAGGCTAGTACAGAACTTGGTTTTGCAGCTTTTTGTCGAGATGCGAGTATATTAAACTTCAAAAATAGCTCTTTTTCACATCTTTTGCTCTTAAAAAGGAACTAAACGAAGTGATCGGGGAAAATTAAAAATATATTCCTACTCTATGGACTATAACGAAATGGAATTGGTATATGAGAACCCCTGCATTTTTTTGCTGTATCACTGTGTAATTATAAAATTAAAATCCCTATTTGTCGGGTTCAGTTGTATGGGGTCTAGGTGAAATAATGGACTGGTGTTAACCATTTTCGTCTCCGGTACCATAGAATATCATCTGCCAAATTTCATTGAATTATCTTCAAAATTGCGACCTGTAGTTTGATTACAATGTTTACAAGACCTATTCGGGGGTTCAGTTGCATGGGGGCTAGGTGAAATAATGGACCGATATTAACAATTTTCAATAGGCTTCGTCCCTAAGACAATAGAAGATCATGTGCCAAATTTCATTGAATAATATTCAAAATTGCGGACAAATGTACGGACATAGCTAAATCGACGCAGAAAACGATTCTAAGCCGATTGGTATACTTTAAGGTGGGTATAGGACCAATATTATTGTGCGCTACAAACATCAGCACAAATCCAATATAGCCTCTCCACTGAAGTGGTGTAGGGTATAAATAGCTACAACTCTTAATATACAATTTTTTCTTCTTAATTTAACTTAGACGGCCAAAATAAAGAAATCCATATAGGTTTTTTATCATGAGCAAAATCGTTGTAAGCCAGCGTTATATAAAAAACAATAACAAAATGTATAGCAATCATAAATTGATCATTCTGGTGTTTAAAATATAATAGTTGCTTGTTTCTTATGTAATTGTTTTTGTTTGTAACGGAACAACAACAATTACACTTAAAAATGGCACAGAAATTATTCAAGAACTATTCGAAACTGATTAGAAAAGGGGCTCATAAGGGGCTTTTAGAAGAGTTTGTAAAAATTTTGTATGGCCTAAAATGAGTTGAAATAATTCTCATTTCATTTGTAATATTAAGAAATCCATCTAATATAGTTTCAAGTTTTTAATAAGTTATGAAAATTTCAATTTTGCTTTCGTGATGGGGGTGCTATCATTAAGAAATTATTTAGTAGTTGCTTTATACACCTATGGAGCTAACTTTGATCAAGCATATAACTAGTTTATGGACCAGTTATGGAAGAATGATTTATCGATACACAAAATATTCTATATCGAATTTTGTTCATATATACTTGTATGTTATTGGGGTAAAGTGACTTAAGGAAATGGATCTTATATGTGAGCTTTGACCAATATATATTTCAATATCAAATATTTATATTTCAATATTAAATAGGTCAGACAGCTCCGTGTAAAAAATTTTGTATGTATACAAAAAATACTCATATCAATTTTTATAGCGATATCACTTTTTGTCAATGAAATATGTGCGGCTAAGTAATTTTCGGAAGTGGACCGTATATCGGAGACCAGACAAATTTTGGGCCCATCCAGAAAATAATTAAGTGTGATTTGTATATATCAAAAACTTATTTATGAGGAATTATAGGCTGGTATCTTTATTTATCAATGAAGATACCAATGTGATTTTTGGAAGTTGATCTTATATGGGAGCTATGACCAATTATGGACCGATCCGGAATAAAATTGGTATAGTCATATATGTATACACAAAACATATTCATGTTAAATATTCCAATATCTTTATTTCTTAATTAGTTATGTGCTTTTAAAAGGGTTTCGGAAGTAGACAATATGTGGTAGCTGTGACCAAATATGTGCTTTAAACACATTCATTATAAATTTTATACTATATTCAGTAATGAAATATGGAAGCTATACCGAATTATGGACCGATCCGAAAATATTTTTGATATATTTATTCTCGAAACATATTTATGTCGAATATTATTCCAATATCTTTATTTCTTAATTAGTTATATGCATTAAAGTGATTTTCGGAAGTGGACCTTGTATGGGAGCTATGACCATTTATGGAACGATGCAGATTTACGTTGGTAATATGATTTATGTTCATATTATATAGATAAATGTGGTAATACAAATATTTTTGACTAAGTTATTAACGATTAACCCATTTTTTGAGAATATCTATAATTGTATGGAGGCTATTGAAAATTTTGGACCGATTGTTTTGAGTTTCAACATAATTGATCCCTGGGCAAAATAAATAACGTGTCATAGAATTCATTGAATAATCTTCGGTAGTTTTTAAGAAAACTACTCGAGAATTAGGAAAAAAACGTAATTTTTTTCGAGGTATTCTGAAATTTTTACTCATAACATTTTAAGTTGTGAACCCATTTTGCTGATTTTTCAATACAAAACTGCTCAGGCCAATAATGAATATTTTCGGAGAACTTGGTTGATTTCCTTTGCTTAGTTTTAACGTCAGCGTGTTTTACACAGAAAGACGGACGGACATAGCTAAATCGACACAGAATTTCATAAGGACCGAAAAACATATAAAATGTTCGGTATATAGACTGATATATACTCTTGTATATATCAGTCTTACTTGTTTGTCATGAATCTTTTTCAGCCTTTAGTAGGAAACTGATGATCATAAGGCGATCAATACTCGCTATTTTATTATTTATTTTAAGTAGCACAATATACAACAAACATGCCCGGTTCGATACTGTATATATAATATTGCTCTGAAAATTTGACGTGAATAAAAAAATTATTATATAAATTTCTAATTTAATGGAAATTTTTTACCAAAATACCCAAAAATCTTTCAAAATTTATTAATTTAAAATATCCCAAGTAGTGATTCTATATTTCACCAAACATTTTTATATCGTTTCTGAACCAATTTAATATCGGCTCTTAATTTAAGTTCAAATTTATGAATGTTCTCCGAATAGAAGGGGGTGTAATGACAGACTTTGATATTTGCGTATAGACTATGCTATCATGGACTGGTATCAAATCAAATTTCATCAAATTATATTTAAAATTACAAGCTTTTTAAACTTCTATATAGGGACTGACATATCGATATGTTGCATCTATATATCGAATAGCATAGTTAATACTTTGTACTAAGGGATAAAATTTTGTTTAAGATATTACTTTAATATAGCACTATTTTCCTTGAACCCTTTAAAATGTAAAATTTTCTGCATAAATTTCCACCTTAAATAAATTTAATGTTGTAATTACATTTTTTTATACCCTCCAGAAACTAGTACATAGGAATTTGTTTTACTCATATTTCATATTTCTATATAGGGACTGACATATCGATATGTTGCATCTATATATCGAATAGCATAGTTAATACTTTGTACTAAAGGATAAAATTTTGTTTAAGATATTACTTTAATATAGCACTATTTTCCTTGAACCCTTTAAAATGTAAAATTTTCTGCATAAATTTCCACCTTAAATAAATTTAATGTTGTAATTAAATTTTTTTATACCCTCCAGAAACTAGTACATAGGAATTTGTTTTACTCATATTTTAAAAAAAATACTTATCAGATTTTAACTACTTATTCACATTTTTCTTATTCATAATATATTTTTTTATATTTAATCTCCTAAAACTAGGTTATAAAACCACCAGGATGGCAGTGTTGCAATGGTCATGTTCTCTGTAATAATTGTCGCAGTCGTTCTGAAAAATGTCCTGTATGTCGAGTACCGTTGGGACCACGTGGTAGATGTTTACTGTCGGATAAATTATTTACTTTGTTGGCTGATAGTTTTCCCTGTGATGGCGGTAAGTAATGGACAGAGGAAGAGATACTTGTGTGTATGTCTGTGTATGGGGATGAATGACAAAAGGGTGAATATTTTGTAGCCGTATTTGTTTTTGTAAGTTACTATGAGATTAAAATTTTTAAGATGGTTTTGGTTTTGTGTATGTGTGTGTGAGTGTCTTTTCTACTGTAAGTTTGTGGTGTGGTAAATGATGTAATACATTTATTTATCTCATTAAATTAGTTTAATATTTTATGTTTTATAATGAGTTTACTTTAGTTAATGACAGGACGGCTTTTACTTTTCTCTTTTTTTTTTTTGGTTTTTTTGTTTTTGGGGTGAAGAAAATTTTTTGTAAATTTAAGTTTATTTAAGGTTTGATATATTACGTGAATTAATCAAAATAATTAGCATACTTTGGGGGGCTTGTAATATATTTTCGACATTAAAAAGGGGTTGGATGATATTTATTTTAAGTTTTCGTGTAGAATGAAATTATGCTCGCTTTATAATAATTTATGACTTATTAATTGTTAAATTCAATTACTTTAAATTTAATTCGGTTGATTAAATATAAAGTTTCCAATCTAGAAATAGAACCAACTTTAATTTAATATTTGCGAAAATTGTAACTTTTCTATAGAAAATTGTGGAAAAATGTAAAATTCTTTAAACTGCTAGTTAAAATACTCTACATTATAAAAGATTGTCTTAAATTGCCTAATTTCGCCTTAAGTATCCTTAACTTAAACTTAAATATAATTTAATTCGTTTAACTTTTCTATGGTTGTTGTTTGACTTCATATTTTTTTCTGTTGTTATTTTTTATGACTTAATTATGTAACATAAATTACTAAAGTTTTGCCAATGTTGTCGCTGTTATACGTGTAATTTTTCTTGTTCTTTCATAAAATATTTTTTCTATTTCTTTAAGAAATTGTGTGTGTGTGAGTGTGTATATCTTTTAAGATTTAGTTTTACATCCATTCACTTTATTTTTAACTTTAGTATTTTTATATTTTACTTATTTTTTTGAGATTGTGTTATTTTTCAATCTGTGTTGTAGTCATAATCTTAAATGTTGCCAAGTTAAGATTAAATGATGTTGCGTTTTTCATTTCCAACTTCCGGTATTTGTTTAAGTGTAATAGTGAAAAGTAGGGAAGGTTTACCATTGTTCGTATGTATTTTTATAATCCTAAAGGAAATGAAATTTTTGCAAAATATTCATTATAAGAAATAGTTGATATTACAATTGAGCCAAATCGGTGATAAATGAAAAAAAGTAAGAAAGTACCATATCCATATGATACTCTACACCAGTTATGAATATTAAATGTGATTTATTTTTTATAATAAAGCATTATCTTCAATATTACCTTGTTCCGATACATTTAAGCAATTTATGGATATGGGGGCTAGGGGCAAATATGGACCAAGCCTGATAAAATTTTGTGAATATATTTATATAAATATATCGCGATATTTGTATTTATAAGTTAATTTTGGACATTCAAGTAATTTTCTGAAGGCGACTTTGTATGGGAGCTAGGGTCAAATGAGGCCCAATCTTTATGAAATTTGACAAGATCATCAAGGCTTGTATAAAACTTAGTTGTGCCGCTTATTATGGATGTATAGCTATATTTAACGTAATTATGAGCTCAGAAGCCCTTTTCGGCGGTTCTGTTGTATGGGAGCTAGGTGTAATAATGGACCGATTTTTACCATTTTCAATAGGCTTCAATAGGGACAAGAAAAGCGTGTGTGCCAAAATTCATCCAATTATGTTGAAAATGTCGACCTATACCTTGCGCACAAAGTTTACATGGACAGCCAGCCAGACGGACTGACGGACATAACTTAAGCGACTCAGAAAACGATTCTAAGCCGATTGGTATACTCTAAGGTGGGTATAGGACGAATATTTTTGTATGTTACAAACATCAGAAGAAACCCAATAAGGTAAGGTTCCAAATGAAGTGACCTAGAGACTTATCTACATAATAGTTTAGAAAAACAATATAAAGCAAAAACATCCAAAAAGTTAAAAAAAATAACGGAATGAATTGAAATGGTATTAGGAATCTATATTTAGGATATCATCCCTTCTATGTATGTGTCATGCTCTGCTCTATTGTTTAATAATACAACTTTGCTTCGCGCTCAGCAATATCAACTTCGACATCCGAGGCACTTATAGAGTAGAGCAACAACTTCCACTATAAGGGGAAGAGTATATTGAGTTTGTGGTGATGTTTGTTACACCCCTGACTTTGGGTTTCTTTCGACTTCAGTGGACTCAATGATATCTGTCCATCCGACTTTGCTATCAATAAAGGTAGACATTTTTTGTGACAAACTTTTATTTTAGATCTTTTAAACCGGTTAATAAAGGTCCATTATTTTACTTATGAAATATACATATGTACAAAATTGGACGCTAAAGGCCATAAACAAATAATTTCCACGAGTATAAGACATTACAATGTGAAGTTCTTTGATGATCGAATCATAATTTTTTATAGTTTCCGTAAAAAGTCCAATTCCGGATCTTTAATAAAACTCTTATCAAAGTTGGTATCAAAAAATTTGGCCCCATTTTCTCAAAATCGGTCCACAAATCATAACAGCTGCCACATGGGTCTAACCTCCAAAGTTCTCTTAAAATGTACAGAAATCAAAATTGTCTCATAAAACGCTAACTTCCGATAATAATTTTGTAACATTGTAGCACATCAAATAATCGGTCTTAACCAACTAAACTTTCTTACTCGTTTCCGTTTACTTTTTGCCTATATACTTGTTACTAATAATGTACTCAAAACAGTATAGAATAAGTAAACTAAAAAAAACACCAACCAACACAAAAAGAGAGCAAAAGGACAATTTCTAAAATAAGTAATAATAATAAAAAATAATAAAGAAGGGAGCAACAAAATACAACAACAGGCAAACAAAACAACTAAAACAACAGTAATAAAGTTTAAATTGTGTAAACATTTGTTCCCTTTAAGGTTTTGCTGTGTCGTTGTTTTTTTATTTTCAACATTAGTTTTGTTCCTTAAGCTTTTTCTAAGTTATTGTTGTTGTAATCTAAGCAATATCCGTTACATTTGAAAAATTAGAAAAAAAAATAGTAAGTAAAAGAAATATTGTAGATTGAAAAAAAAAATATTAGCTGTTTAAACTTATGTATGTCGTAAAACTTCTCGTTTTATATACAAGAAGAAAACTTGTGTGTATTGGTTTGTTTATGCTGTTGCATCAGTCACTTGCAGCAAGTTCTTTATTTTTATTATTTTTTTAAGTTTGTTGGCCTGCGGAAAATGTCACACTGCCATCATTTGGTTGTATTGAGTTTTTCTTTTGTTTTTTTTTTGCTTTATTTTATATTCTTCCTCATTTTTCCAACACGGTCTTGCCAAGTTCTTGCGAAAATAAGAGCTTTGTATGCATGTGTCCTTATGCGAGTGTTTTTTTTTTGTGTAAATTTAAACATAAAGTTTGTTGTGTTGCTTGTACGAGGTTGGTCTCAAAAGGAGGTTTAAGCTAAAGCAAATCACAACGATTGCAATTTAATGTACACTTTCAAAGTAAAATTTAAAGAAATGTTGTTTGTTTTCTTAAATCACTTTCTAAATTACTTTCTTATTGGAGTTAGTTTACCACAGAGTGACTAGTTGTATTGTTTAATAAAGTTCTAGCTTGCATTTTTTTCTATCTTCATCATTTTTTCATTTATTTATTTTTTCTTTGATAAATCTTTTGTTTATTTACTTAATTTCTTGTAAAAAGTAAGAACAATTTCACAGCAAATAAAATAACTATGTTTTTGTAACAAAACACATTGTGTTTCGTCTCTCTATTTATTAGCAGCATTATTTTTTCTACACTCCACCACAACTTACAGTGAATGGGGATATATGTACATACCCAGCAAAAACTCGGTAATGGGTTGTACTTCCATAACTACTTACTTTTCAATGACTACTACTTACCGTCTGCATTACATAGAAGTACTCTAGTAATGACTTTCTTATAATTTGATATAGAAGTACTTTATTTTCGTCTTAGTCATTTTGTTTGCATATTTTATTTAATTGCGTGTTAAGAATTGTATTTTACAAAAAAGAAAACAAAATTAGATTTGTATGTGAAAACCATTATATGACGCGCAATAAAATAGCTAAGCAGTGGTGCAGTGAGTAGAACATTTGACTAACAAACCGAAGTCCCTGGTATCTAGCTGGCTCTTTTTATTATTAAAAACAAAACAACTTACTCAACAACTGTTTTGTAAGAGAAATTGCAAGTACTTCTTTAACTCCCTATTTGTAAGCGAGCGTAGAAGTACTTGCCTCCAATGACATCAGTAGTAGTGCAAATTTTATTAACATTTTAACTCATTACTTTTCAATGTAAGTTTTTCCTGGGTATGTAAATGGTTAATTTCGTGTTAAGTGACCCAACTCAAAAAATCGATTTGGATGAAATTTGCACTATGGTTAGAACTATTGTATAATAGGACAGACACAAATTTTAAAAAATTCAATTTTATTTGAAACAATGAAGACAGTTTTTGCTAGGACTAATAGGTGAAAAGTTACACTCATTTGAATAAAATCGTGTATGACCAAAATGTCCAACTTTGACCCTCTCTAAGTCCGGCAGTTTTTGACCAATTGAGCTGAGAATTTGTGTATGGCCTACTATCCAATAGTACTCACCTTGGTTGGGTTTTTTGACACGAAATTTCCCATATATGTATTTCCATTCTTAAAAGAAATCTTGTTATGTGTACATAAATTTTTATAAGGTTAAGGTGTTGTGGATCGATCAGCTCGTAGGTCATTTAGCTCTTTGTAATAGAGATCAGATCTGCTAGAATCTAAAAAGTTGTTTTACGAACCTGTAAGTCATTATAAGATTAGTTAAAAAAAATGCAGACGGTATGTAGTAGACACTGAAAAGTAAGTAGTTGAGTAAGTGCAAGTCATTCCCGAGTTGTAGCTGGGTATATTACACACAAAGATCCGTGTAATCGGCAATTTGATATTCATTGAAATGTTCTCTTTATATTTAAGTATTTATTTTGTAAGATCGAGGACCGAGAGTGAATCCAATTGAAGGACATGATTTCTAGGCCATTCTTTTTTATTAAATATAAAATAAATTAAGAAAATTGATTTGGTTTCTATAACTTTATGCACATCCGTTGTCTAAAAGTTAACAAACGTGGTAAACTCAAAATGCTTGTTGTTGTATGTATGTATATACTTGACAACGGATGTTATTGAATAATTTGGTGTCCATTTGGTACCAGGCGTGTATATTTGTTTTCCTCTGTATACAGCTTGTAGTTTAACTTCTGTAGAAAATTAAACTTAAGTATTAATTGAACAGCTCTTTAATATTAATATTCTTATCTACTGACAAAGTAAATATTTCCTTTTAAATTGAAAGTTTCTATATAAAACTAAATATAACTTTCGATAAAAATTCTTTACTAAATCATATTGCAGACGTGCGTGCAATTACTTAAATTAAATATTTTTCTTAAAAAGAAATTTAATTTTGTTACAGAATTTAACTTTGTTTCTTTTCAGCTTATTTTCCACGCAAATAAAGCACTGTATTTTCTAGTTCTTTTTAAATAAGTCTTAATAAAATTTGTATGTCTGGGTGTATGGTGAAGAAGATTGTTTGTTGTATTCTATGAAAACTAATTTTCTATAATGTTGTGTATTTCTCATGAAAATTTATTAACAAAATATTTTTCTTTTATGCCACTTTTCTATGCTACAACTATTTGCAACTCCAATAACAAAATAGTGCGCAGTAACAAAAGTTCACCAAAAGATAGACGGAAATGCAGTACGGAATTTCATAATCAGCCAAAAATGGCCATTGTAAAAAAGCATCATCAGCAGCAGCAACAGCAACAGGAAAGAGATGAACAACAAGGAGCTAAGAAAGCCAAAGATTTTCTATTAACATCCCTAAGACACCGTAGAAGAAAAATATCCAGCACAAAAATGAGTCACGATAACAATGAAGAAGGCCATGAAGGTGAAGCGAAGGAGGAGCAAGAAAATAAACATTCATCAATGCAAAAACAGGCAATGTATGATGGTGCCACGAGTAGTATTAAAAGGAATTGTAACAATCGGAAGTCAACACCAGATTATAATAGTGAAGCTGGTAGTGGCAATATTAAAGGAGGTGTTGGTGTGACTACAACAATGACGACAACCTTTTGCAACGATGAATTGCTTGGACAAACATCAACAATACAACAATGTCATTGTATAACGTGTTATAAGCCAGATAAAGTTGCAATTGTAAATAATGTTACAACAGCAGCAGCCACAACTGCATCTGCTTCACTAAATAAATATATATTACGGATACCAAGTCAGGGGCAACTAGAGAACATGCCAGAGCAACAACTACAACGACAGCAATACGAAGAAAAATATCAAAATTATCAGTGCCCAACTGGGAAATTATGTTGCTTGACTAAGAACGTGATGCCCCATGCAACATGTACTAGAGTGACAACAACTACTGACAACAACACACCCCACCATGCTTCAATGACTAATAACAACTTGTCAACAACAACAACAACAGCAACAACTAAACAAACAATACCAACTGTTTTGAATTCAGGAAACCAACAACAGCAACAGCATCAGGTTAATGTTTATAATTTTCATAAAATCCTTAAAAATGAATGGGACATTTTAGCTCATCTTACCCAAGATCATCAATTACCAGTGAATCAGTATTATGCCGAATATGGTCAACGTATACAACTGCAATGTCTTAGCCAACACTCTATAATCTGTCTTAATCTCAAGGGATCGGATGAGAATGATTCCAAAGTAGAAAAATTCTTTATAGCCTGCATACCTTTAGAAATGACCCCGAGGGCAACAGTCTCAAAAGTGGCCATATTTTTGTATCACATGAATTCTGTAGCCAATGTGGCCACCACCATCACAACAATCACATCCGCCTCGACTTCCTTAGATGATGAGGTCAGCAATTTTGAAACGATTATAGAAAATCCCTTAACGGGTATTAAATGGTTTGGTCGCGCTCATCCCTTAACCACCCCCTGGTCACATATACATGAAAAACAACATTTTTTCCAGTACAACGTGTTGCAAAATCATTTGGATGTTGTCAGCGGTATGGGTGAAGCAGTCGTGAGTGGTAGTGATGCATTTGTGATTGTTGTAAAAAGAAAATTAGAAATAACAACAAAAATCTAAGCGAGGAGACCACAAAATGAAATGGAAATCGAAAAAAATAAGACAATTCAAACAATGAAATGTATGAAAAGAAAAATATGTAATTCGATTATATGTATGTAGTAAAAATGAATGTTGCATGTTGCAAATACATGCTTTAGCAAACAAAAAAAATCAAAACTAGCAAAATTGATGACTTGTATTGCTACGTGCTTACGATTTTATAGCCCTGCTCAAACTACGTTAAAACTGACTGACATCGTAACCCATAACGGGGTTACGAGTATGTTACTAGATTTATATGTATGAAAAGGTTTTAATTTAAAAAACTTTCTTTTAAATGTTTAAACCTTTCTGAAACTTAAAATAATCGAAATTTTTTCAAAGTTTCTTAAATTGTGATTTACATTAACATCATATAGTCAGACACTAGAAATTAATTTGAAACAATTTGCTTAAATTGAAAATTTCAAAATTTTTAATTTGCTTTATGTGGCTTTTCGTACGTAGTTATTGTTAATCAACTTTTTCGAAAAATATGCTGATTAAGAGAAACTAATTATTTATAAAACTGTATTAAAATGTACATAAGGAAAAGCCGAATATCCTTAATAACTATATATTTTAAATTATTGATCCAAAGTTTAAAATTTATAAGTTTATAACTTGATACATTTAACTAATTTAAGCAAATTCATATTTGCTCTTACATAACAATTGTAAAAACAATCTAATTAAATAATATTCAAACGTAGTTCTACAAAAATAATTTCCAAACGATAGTTTTTTTTATTTATTTAAAGTAAATTTCACATTGCAGAATAAATTTTATATTTGAATAAAATTGCAAAATTTCATAATTTTTTATATTGGTCATATTCGCACTTGTTTATTTAAATGAAAACATTACAAATCATTTATTGTTAATAATAAAATTTAATTATCGTTTTGTATAAATTTATTACAGAGTACACTCTAAACGATTATTGTAGTTTATTAAATTAAAGTATTTTTTTACGAATTTATCATTTGTGTATTTATTTGCATATTAAGTCTGATTTAATAAAATTTGTTTAAAATTGTTTTTTTTTTTTTTAATTATTTATAATGTAATATGGGTAAGTAGTATTTTTGTATATCAGTTTTTTTTGTTAATCGATATTTCAAATAATGAAATAGTTAATTTAAATAAAAATTATAGAATTTTTAAATTAATGGCTTGTTTTAAATTAATGAAGATCGGTTAAATATTTAATAAAAATTTCTGTGAAAGAAAAAAATGCATTCGGAATATACACCATCTAAATCATACATCTATGAGGTTTCAGTGGATATAATTATTTCAAAAATCAAGGTCCCTAGGTTAAATATTAGATGTACTTAGTACTAGGAAGGTTACATATAAGTTTGTCTTTAAATTTTAAGATGGGAGATATTTTGTCATTTCATTTAAAACACAACGAAATATTGGTCTAAGACCCAAAAAAAAGTATATATATTCTGGGACCTAATTAGATTCTAAGACGACTTATTTTTGACCATCCGTCTGTCTGTTGAAAACACGATAGAGTCTAAATGGAAGCAGCTAGAGAGCTGAAATGTTTAGCTGATGCATTTTATTTGATATTGAAATGGACAATATGGGTCAACGATTTTGCCTAGACCCTATATAAGTTCCCCTTCAGAAAATTACTTTAACGCCCATAACTGGCTAAAAGAAGCATCAATAGCTATGAAATTCGGCTTGGAAAATGTTTATAGGAACCTACATTTTTCTGTAAAATATTATAAGGATCGGTCCAAAATTGTCCGTATCTCCCATATAAGTTTCCCTTCAGAAAATGACTTTAGCCCTCATAACTGGCTAAAAATTTTATAGTAACCTAAATCTCTTTGTCAAATTTTATAAGGATCGGTCAATAATTAACCCAATCGCACATATAAAGTCTCACTTAAAAAAATTACTTTAACATCCATTAAAAATAAAACATCAAATTTCTCGTAAAATTTTATGAGGATCGGTCCATAATTGACTCTACCCTCCATATATGGCCCCCTCTAGAATTGGCTTTGAAAAAATATATGGAGATGAAATACGATAAAAGTAAGTTTTATGGGAGCAAAATCGTTTTGCAAGTTTTATGAAGATCACTCTATAATTGACTTTATTGCAATATAAGATCCCTTTCAGAAAATTATTTTAACTTTTATATCTTGCTTAAAAATACCAGTTTAGCAAGGTAATTCAACATAAAAGTATTTTATAGGAAGAAAATTTTATGAGGATCGGTCTATTGTTGATCCTATCCCCAATAGAAAATACAAAAATCCTTTTACAAAAATCTATGAGGATCGGTCCACAATTGATCATATTTCATTTATAACTCTTCTTTACAGAAAATCAATTTATACTCGATAAATCATTCAAAAAACTTTATATACGATAATAACATTTAGAACTAATCGACTAAATAAGTAAATTGTGGTAATAAATTGGAAAAGGATCGATTCATATAATATGTGTCCATCTTCCGAAATTCAATCAATTTTTTAAATTGACAGAGCCCTTATTAAAGTCACTATTCCAAAAATCTTTTCTAAGCGATTTTTGTTTGAAATTGTCAAGGTGATTAACTTTGACAATGAGTTGAAATTGGCTTAACTATATTTAAAAATCTTACTTATCATATTTTTTATATAAATAAATATAATGAAATATACTTTTGAAAAAAATGTACTCACCATAGATATAAAGACACCTGCAAATAAAGAAAATAAAGAAATATTATTGCTATGAAACTTTCAAAGGATAAAGAAAAATTTAATTCAAACTTTAATCGAAAATTATGTATCTTCCAGTCTTTGATTTTCAATAATTCTAAATGATTCTTTAAATCTTAATGCACACGGAATAAAACTGCTATAAAAATAATTTAATTGATGTCTCGATTTATTGATATATGTACATATTTATGGTAATTCAATAACATATTTATATGTATATAATATAATTAATTTCCACTTCAACAACTTTTTATGTTGACAATTCATACATGTTCATGTTGGCTGGCATGTCTGCGATATATTTGATGATGACGATGATCTTCATACACAATTCACTCACTCGGTTGTATTTTTTTTTTTTTTGTTTGTTTAAATGGTCATAATTCAATATCTTACCAGCTGACAAATAACAATTAAAAACCACAAATATATTTATACGGAAATACAGTATTGTTGAAAACCAAAGTACATTTCTGTAGAATAATATACATATTCTTTTCAAAATGGGAATTTACCGTTTTAAAATTATCAGAAACTAATAAATTGCTTTTAGTTCGAATGGGAATAATATTAAACTACAGTACAAGCTTGGAGGTAATGATTACATAAAGTAATTCCTTACATGGATAATAACAATTTCTTGTAATGTGTTTGTAATTGTAATTGTAGTTTTCAAATTATAATTATTCAGTTAAAATTACAGGTAATTGTAATCGGTTATTAGTCAAGTACACATTATATGTAATTGCAATTGGTTATTACTCAATTACACATAATAAGTAATTGTTATTGACCATTTAATGAATTACTTTGTGTAATCATTACACCCCAAGACTTTACAGTAGTAATTAGTCTTTTCAAAAACGATGAATAGATTTTATAGAAATGAATGATCCTTCGTACATCAAGCTACGAAATTTTTGCTGTTGTAGTTAAATTGTAAAATTGTTCCACTATTTGAACAAATTGCTTAGGTTTCGACCAATACTGCCAAGTATGAATGGTCCATTTATGTTTTTAAGTTAAAATATTTTTATATATTTATAATTGAAAATTGTTTCAACACCATCACCGACATCAGTAAGCAACCGATAAACAAATAGACAAAAAAGAATAATATTGTATTTATAACAAGGAAGAAGGTTTTATGCTGAAAAAGCATAAATTTTCTTTTAGAGACCAGAGCTGGAAAAAATTGCTCTTTATACACAGTAACGAAAAAAATGTATATGATTTGCACAAAAATACACACGCATGTTTATAAAGTATTAAGCTTCATGTATGAAATAAAAATGTAAAAAAATCAACCCTAAAAAAGGATATATTATAGAGTCTATAGCAGTGAAAAAAAAACTCTATAAACTGCCACCATTGATTGAAAAATATGCCAAAAGCAGCATAAATAACTGACATCAGCACAACAGCATCATACGGCCAACTACATATTTACACTCCCACAGAAAAAAAAGTAGTATCATCAGCACCTTCCTTGTTGGGAGTTGCTAGTATGTAGTAATAAAAAATTTATAAAGAACCACCGGGAATCATGTTATAAACACCCACACAAACAGGTATAAAAACTGTTAAATATACAATATTTATTACAATATTTAAAACTATATAAAAACTTATAGGTAGTTACTGGCTATGGAGAAGTACTTTTAGTTTTATTATAGTTTTTGTAACAATAGAATCCTGTTGGTATTTGTAAAGACTCTAAGATAAATTTTGAACAACATTCAAGTTATACTTAGTCCATTCAAGATTCCTCTTCTATAAGTCCAGCTAAAAAAAATTAAAACAAGTAAGAGTGTTATATTCGGCCATGCCGAATCTTATATACCCACCATCAAATCATCCTTATTAATAAACTTTGATATTATCGAATCAATTTTCTGATTTATTAGATCTATTATGAATCATATGTCGATATTAATATGAACATCAGGGAAATAAAGTCATTTTCTAATGGGGACCTTAATAGGAGTGTAGAGTAGGAGCTCATACAAAACTTGTTTATGTGAAATTTCATCGCTGTATTCGTATTTGAGCGTTAGAGCCAGTAAGGAGTGTTACAGTCACTTTCTAAGCGGGACCTTATATGGATGGTGGGGTTAATTATAGACCGATCCCCATAAAATTTGATAAAGAGTTTTTGGCTAGCACACAACTTCTTTATGTAGTATTTCACTGCTATAATCGCATTTTTGAATCAGTTAAGCGTTATAGACATTTTCTGAAGTCATTATATGGGGGGGGAGGTAGGGTTAGTTATGGACCCATCCTTATAAAGTTTGATAGAAAGCTTTCGGCTGCCACAAAACTTGTTTATGTAAAATTTTACCGCTGTATTCACATTTTTGAGTCGGTAATGCGCGATAAAGTGATCTTCTCAAGAGGACCTTATATAGGTAGGGTCAATTATGGACCCATCCTTATAAAATTTTACGAAGAGATTTAAGTTCATATTAAATATGTTTCTGTCGAATTTCACCGCTATAGATGTTTCTTTTAGACAGTATGAGCGTTTAAGTCATTTTCTGAAGGGGACTTTATATGGGGGGTAGGGTTAATTATGGGCCTATCCTTGTAAAATTTTACAAAGAAATTTATGTTCCCATTAAACATGTTTGTGCCGAATTTCACCGCTGTTGAGGCTTCTCTTAGCCAGTTATATGCGATAAAGTCATTTTCTGAACGGGCCTTATATGGGTGCTAGACGCAATCGTGAACCATTTTCGATACCAAACAAACTGCATCAACTAGAAGTATCTATGCAAAATTTCAGCTCGCTAGCTATTTCTATTTGGACTCTATCGTGTTTTCAAAAGACAGACGGACGGACATTGCTAGATCGTCTTAGAATCTAATAAGGACCCAGAATATATTACTTTTATGGGTCTTAGACGAATATTTCAATGTGTTACAAACGAAATGACAACAACAATATACCCCCATATTTTTTGATGTAGTTATAAAAGTCAAAAAATATCTGATATCTCGATAACTTGATGAGAAGGATAAATCAGTTAACGATTACTCTCTGAAATTAGAAGATTTTGCACAACTGTGGTTGAGATCCTAAATCGAATACTAAACATGTAGGGTTCATTACTAAACGTTAACCCCACAAACAAATTTTAATTAAAAACTCTCCACATGTGTCTTCATATATAGTTTTTTAAGCAGTCATATTTAAAAAAATTAAAACTCCATAGAAAATAAATGAAAATTTATTAATTTTTTTTTATATTCATATGTGTGTGTGTATGTATCACATTTATATTTTAAAATA